ACCGAGGCCAACCAATTAAGCTGATAGGGTTTAAAAAAAAAAAAAAAATTTAGAACGTTTGAGCTTTGTTGATTTTCATAGAGCTAGATGCATTTCATCAGGATGATATTCCGCTTTAGAATCATGCATCGGAGGAGTCATAAATCCAACAAATTCATGGATCATACTCTTTCCAAAGGAACATCTGGAAAGCAACAACAAGGGTTCATGTAAGTTATTCGATCCTTGTGACAATAATTCTTACACAGTTAGAGATCTCGGATTTGATCTCTCCAGGTGCCGTTGTTTGGCGAGTTGCCGTAGCTGGTTCCTCATGTTAGACCATAGAACCGATTTTCATCTTCTGAATGTGTTTACTCGAGAGAGGATTTTCATCTTCTGAATGCTCGTTGGTTTTTCCCCACTTTTGGTGGAAAATGGTTACTTTAAAAGCTACATCAATTAGTTGTCTTTTGGTAAGAGTGGTTTCTTTTCTTTTAAACTGTGAAACAAGATATTGTGCTAGTTATATATAATTCAGTCAAATAACTGATTTTATTTTGTTTTGTTAACCTGAAATAATAACCTCAAATGATTTTTGTACCTTGATTTATGTTGGCTCCTTAGTCATTTGCGGAGATCTTGGATATGGAGGCACATTCTATCTATCAACTATCTATCATTTGAACCAGCTTAAATCCATTGTAACCAGCTTACTTAATTAATCTCGGTTTGTGTCTAAAAGTAAAAATTGTTCAAGCTCTACTGAGAAACAACGAGTTGATACCCAAAAATTAATCTTGGTGCGGAAAGAAATTGAGATTCTTTTTACAAACAAATTCATGTTGGAAAACTTATCTACAAGCTAATTTAACAGCATTCTAATTTGCATTGTCAACTCTTTTTTTTTGTTTTTGGTCAAAAACAAATTCTAATTTGCATTGTCAACTCTTACCAATTAACATTTTATTATGAAAAATATATCTATAATGCAACAAAATAGAAATTTACAATCCTATAACGAAATGGGATCCAAGAGTACGGAGTGAATATGAACAACGGTTTTGGCTTTTTCGGGGCAGCCGTGGCCATCACCGTGCCGGTAGATACAATGTACCACGCGGTTCAGATTTGCTGCGGCTGCCACTAGACCACAAGGAAGAGAAGAAGTGTGTGCCGTTTTGAAATCGGAATTTATGATGTCCCACGAGTCGCTGATCATATTCTTCATGTGTCCACGGGCCTCCTCCTCACTCGTCCTTGTCTCGTACATGTAACATTGGACCGACTTTGGTGAATCTCCTCTTGCCATTTCTTCCTGTAAAATCACTAAAATTTAGAGCTTTTCCTCGATGATGGCTTTATAAAAATAAATTCAGTATTTAGTGTTATTTTTACAGTATCTTTAAATTCTGTTATAAAACTCTTATGCTATTTAATGGTAAATTGTGAAAATACAAAAAAAAAAAATCTTTCTTAAAATTACAGAAAAATTACTATGATTTACTTTCGAAAATATACAAATAATCAAATTTCATTGTCTTTGGATGTTATTTAAAATTATTAAGAAAAACAATAACAATATTTCTAAAATAATCTATAATCTAATTTTAATCAACTAAACACGTACTTAATCTTTAACATATATTTACTCCACTCTACATCAGATAAAATAATTAATAACCCATTACTTCTTCTGGAAAAATGAAAACAAAACGTACGTTTAGCACTAAAAAACATGATCGAAGATTATCGATACATAGTTAATTTCTTGAAATTTT